CTAGTAGCTTCTTGTTACTAGTAGCGATGGCCTCCAACCTACTAGCGGTGGCCTCCACCCTCGTAGCTTCTTGTTACTAGTAGCGATGGCCTCCAACCTACTACCTAGTAGCTTCTTGTTCCTAATAGGGATGGCGTGCAACCTAGTAGCTTCTTGTTACATACTAGCAGCGATGCCCCCAACCTACTAGCGATGGCCTTCACCCTAGTAGCTTCTTGTTACTAGTAGTAAGGTGCCACCTTGCAGACTTGGCAACTTCTGCACTTGCTCGTCAAGTTGCGATTTGATGAAGGGAAGCAGCCAGCCGGCAGCAAGGTCTCTCCCCTGTCGGCAGCATCGCTCCTGCACTTCCAAAGAAATTTCTATCAGGACTGCGGACGTAACGTATGTGTGTGTGTTGGTGTCAGCCTGTGGACACTGCAGCTTGGGATCTGCACGCCCTTTTGTGGCATCAGCGCCTGTAACTTGGTCTATGCCTGACTTTGTGGCATCTTTTCTTCCGCAATAGGTGTAGAAGCCGAGGACGAGCTGGTCTTCAAGACTTGGTTCTCAGGGTTTGACAGGACGTAGCTCGTTCGGTAGATGCTGATGATGGATCCCACACCCAGAAGCACACTGCCAGAGATGTACAGGGTCGCACCTCACTCCAAAGGAATGCGAAGGCGGAATCGAAAATTGACATCGGGCGTCGCGAGCGATATGTACTTCCTAGAAACCCATTCTCTCTCCAAGCTTGTCAAGAAGCTACTAGGAGCAAAGGGCATCGCTACTAAGAGCAAGGACGCTACTAGGGGCTCCTGGCCTCACTACTAGTAACAAGAAGCTACGAACGGGGCTCGTTTTCCACCAAACCTTCGGGGCGATCGGCAGCCGGCACCCGCTCCACGGTTCGGTGTCGGTTCCGATCCAAGGCTCCGATGCGAACCATGTTCCCGTTGCAGCCCAAGTCGGGCAAAAAGGCCACGGAGCCCATGACGAAGAACAGCGCGCCACCTGTTCAGGTCCCAGCCCGAGACCAGCATAGCAGACGGGTGCCGAGACCGAGGTCGCCAGGTTTGATGCCGCAAACTTGATGCATGGATGGGGTAATTGGTCATAATCTATGTCGCTATTAGGTTGAAGGCCATCGCTAGTAGGTTGGAGGCAATCGCAATTAGGATGGAGGCCTTTGCTATCAGGTCGGAGGCCATGCCTATTAGGTTGGAGGCCATCACTATCTCCCCTTCACAGAGGTCCTAGCCGACTATCCAATCTTATACCCCAATGTGCCCACTGGATCAAGGTATGTCGGATATGCCGCTGCCCATGCAGAGGGCAAAACAGTTTACAGCTGACACAAGGACCAGAAGATCTATGACATAAGGTCATGATACATACTGCCGCCTATATAATCCCTGAATCTCCGCTGTGCAGCACCCCTTTCGTTCGGTGCAGGTGAGATGTGGGCTGTGGTGGCTGTGTGACGCATCCCACGCCTAGATACAGCGACGTCACTGCGGTGAGAAGTTGGTTGGTGAAGGTGTCGAAGCTCCGCTGGTTGAGGCCATTCACAAAGGAAGCAAAGGCAAAAAAGGCCGAGCCGACCATGAAAAGAATGGTGCCTTCAAATTGAGTGCTGAAAAGGTTGAAGTAAACGCCCAAAGACAAGTGCTTTGCCAGCCAAGTGAGCTGGTATCGGTCAATCTCAGGCGGCCAATACATCACTGTTCCCACGAGATAGAGCAAGGAGCCGAGCAAGTACAGGACGTGCTCAATGGATTCGAAGTTCAGAATGTTGTCATGGTAGTGCACTGCTTCACACAACGTGTACACTGTGATGCAGCAGTAGACAAAGCTCCCAAGGATGAAAAGCTCACACCCAAGTAGAAACACATCCATGTCGTGAGCAAAGGCTGGCCAAAAGCAAGCACTTCCGGCAACAAAAATGACATTGGCCGCGAGCTCCAGTCCTTCAATCATGTATGCTGCCCGTGCATCAAGCCGCGTGATTGGCTCCGCATGAGCTCGCTCTTTCCCGGCATCCAACCTAGTGAAGGGCGCATTTCGAATACGCTCTAAGACCACATGAGGCATTCCGATTCTCTTCACTGTCACGACATTGAGAGGCAAACGCCCCGACAGGGAAGCTACGCGGCTGTTCGTAGCTTCTTTGAGCCAGCAAGGAGGCCCGTCGTGAAAGAATGCAAAGAGCTTCACATACAAAAAAACAAAAAAACAAACAAGAATCATATGGCTATATATATATAGTACAACGTACAACTGGTCGTAAGGGCACACAGCAGCTACTCCCATGGATCACACTTGTCTCCAGGGCTGATCCGGCTGCTTCCAGGACAGCATCATCTCTGTGGCCAAGGCGGGCACAAGTGGCATAGCTGGCTATAAGGGTAGCCACATGTCGCGGATCCAACGGTTTCCTTCGGACATGCATGGCATAACGACAGCAAACACTGGAAACAGCTAACATCAGAATGTCTTGAAGTAAATTCGCTAACTCCTCTCTGAGGGGATGTCACCGCCCGTGCTGCCGGTCGGATCTTGCAAAGCCGCAAGGACATGTTTTTGCAAAGGCTGTAGCACCTGCAACTTGGTGTTCTTCATGAAAATCTGCTCCCTGCTTTGGACGGAGGTGCCTTAGCGTGTGCTCCCAAACGAGCCAGCCCACCAAGCCCAACTGCAATATCAATGAGACCTGAGCTGCCGTAGAGAATGCAAGTCGGCAACTCAAGCCAAGGTATCACGACAGGTTTGCAAGTTCCGTTGGCTTTGGCGAGGTGCGCATTTCACGGGCACTGTGAACAAAGCGATCTCCCACATTTCGTGCTAGGCCCTTCCAGGCCATGCTGATGGCCTCAACTTCAGCCTCGTGTCGATCAAGGCACCCTCACACTCTTTCTCTTTATCTTTCTCGTTCTCTTTCCCTTTCCCTTTCCCTTTCTCTTTCTCTTTCCCTTTCCCTTTCCCTTTCTCTTTCTCCTTCTCCTTCTCTTTCCCTTTCCCTTTCTCTTTCCCTTTCCCTTTTCCTTTCTCTTTCCCTTTTCCTTTCCCTTTCCCTTTCCCTTTCCCTTTCGCTGTCTTTCCCTTTCTCTCTTTCTCTCTCTCTCTCTCTCTCTGTCTCTCTCTCTCTCTCTCTCTGTCGAGGGCAGGCCTGCGCATTCTGAGCACGCTGTCCAGAGGCTTCTCCCCGCCCAGCCAACTTCCCAAAGGAATCCAATAATTCTGCCAAGGATTGCCCCTGCAGGCGGCCCAAATGAAACAATTCAATAGCTGCTCAATCTCCAGGCAACCAACTGTCAAGTGAGAAGCTCACATAAGTATGTACAAGGGTCCAAGTTCCACATTCCCTTCTGATGGGCATACTCTGGAAAGTTGCCTAAGCTTTGGCAACTCAGTTTCCCGCCCACAGGCGCGAATCATGGACGAGCTCAGCGGTGCGTCTCTGCAGTGCCACAAGAACCGGTCGATCTCTCACCCGCAACGTGGCATAGGCCTCTGAAATCAAAGGGCTGCTCTGAAAAATAAGAGGCCATAGTATCATATGGCTGCATTTGCAAAAAATATGTTTCGTGCCTTGATTATTGGAATGTGAGGACCCCCCACATAAAAACAAGTAGGATCAGTGCCAGGACGTACACCTTACCAATTGACTATAGGGATCATCGGTTCTTGGCTTAGGGATTGCACAGTTGTCCGTATGGAATTGCTGAGAAGTTGATCATTGTTGAATTGGTGATGTGTATGTAGAGTGAGAGCCGCCTGACTGTTGTAATGTAACGTCCGTCATCGAACCGCCAAACTTATCAATGACAAAGCCTCCAATGGCTACAAAATTTACAGGGATTTGCTGCCCCCTCAAAGTGCTTGGGGACAACTCATGCGTGCCCGGGGTAGAATTACTTAAAACAAAAACTCATCCAGCCGAGTCATCTGCCCAAATGAATAGGGTTAAGAAGCTGCAGAAGTACGCCGTGATTAGTTATTAGTTGTTCGGATCCAGGTTGGAAGAATATATTTTTTCCTGCTCAACTTCCCCCTTGCATCCCATCCCACCATCCTTTCCTTTGCTGAGTTTCTTCTCATTCTCTATATATATACACATATATCATATATCGCTCTCCGTCTTTCTTTAACTCTTTCTGTCTGTCCGTCTGTCCTTCCTTCCTTCATGCCGGCCTGCCCCCCTTCCTCTCTTTCTCTCTTTCACACCCGTTTCTTATTTTGTAGTTTTTCATGTTTTTTTCGTGGTTTTCTTTGTGAATCTTGTCTTTTCCTCCGCCCCATTGGATAATCAGTGACTTTCATCATCAATATGAAATGGAAAGTGTGCTTCGCAAGAAAATGAGCAAAGAAACAATGAGGAATATGAGGATAGCAATCATGAAGAGCTTCACCCTCCGATTTTTGCTCTTTGACACCAGAAGTGTAAAATCCCTGCTTCCTCAGGAGCTTTCAGACGTTTTGAAGGGGCGGGGCATACAGGAACCTGACAAAATCATCCCTGTCATCCCTTGCCACTAATTTAATGACAAAACACCATGGCAACGCTATTTCCAAGAAGTCATCCCCCAGTCACCCCGGGAGCTAATCCCAATGGAACGCTGATACCCAAACAAGATTTCTCACCAAAAAGGTAGACCCAAAGAGTGCAAAAATAAAACACAAAAACGCTAGTTCTAAAGGAGTGTGGGTTTGATTGATTTACATCCGCACGCTGCATGTCAATCCCAATGAAACGCTGTAAAAATTATTTAACCAACTTTAATTGACTCGAACATAGCTAATCCGCAAGTAGTGGCCCGATGCGATCGGGTCTAGGATATCTAGATGTCAAGATGGCAAGATGGGACGGGAATCTCAAAAAATCAGGCAGGGCTGACTAATTGGACTTCAGTTTTTGAGCATCAGTCGTCGCAGAAATTACAGGATCGAGCCGAAAGTGTGAGGCATCCTCAGAGAGATGTCTTGCAACAATCGACTTTCCAATGGAAGATCTGCGGTCTGTTCTTCCTCTGTAAAGACCTCCCTTCAAGAATGTTAGCTTCATTCTTGAACTCGACTTCTCATGTTCCGCTTCAGGTGCGCAAGCTGACGAACACGAAGTAGATGCCTAGCCCCCCTTCCAATCGGAACGGCCAACTTTTCCCGGCCAGCGACTAGCTTCGGGTTAGAGCTTCCTGCAGAAAAAGGCAGTGTCAGAAAAGACAAGGTCCTGCCACTTCATGACAAAAAACACCTCTCCAGCACTGGCTGGCAGCAGAATGCCAAAAGCCGGAACAAAGCCATGCCTTGCTCATCAGGACACCTTGCCAACAAAATCAACATTGCTGCCGGGCCAAGGCAGCAATGAATTCAAGAAGGCACTCAGCGCAAGCAAGCCAAACTGCCCGGCCCTGCGCGGCGTGGGGGACTCAGCCCACGCTAGCCCACTGCTCACCCAACAGCTTCAAGCCCAGCCTCCAGGCCTGAACATGAGGCACAGCAAAGCCTCGAGTCAAAGAGCCCTGGTGTGTGAGAAAGAACGAAAGCTAGTCGCGCTGTACAGTCAGGCGATCACACAGTTCGCAAGCATTCCATGAATCGCACGCAGAAGCCCGGCGGCCGCAATGAAGCTTTTCCATTCCACGGATCCCACATGGACCAACATGGCGCAAGCCAGCCTTTCGCACAGACCTGGAAAGAATCAAAAATTGCAGCAGTCAAAGTCGCGCGAGATAGTTGGCAGCATTCCAACGAATGAGGGGCTCGCAAAACCAACCCACCCATAACTGGAAAATAACAAAAATCAAGGCAGGGCTGACTATATAATTGGACTTCACAGTTTGAGCATCAGTCGTTGCAGAAATTACAGGATCGAGCCGAAAGTGTGAGGCATCCTCAGGGAGACGTCTTGCAACAATCGTTTCCAATGGAAGATCTGCAGTCTGTTCTTCCTCTGTAAAGACCTCTCTTCAAGAATGTTAGCTTCATCTTTAATCTTGAAGCCTGTGAAGGCAGAAGTCCAGGGACCTCAAGTGCCACCGATGCAAATGCTGTCCGCACTTTTAAATTGTTGTGAGGTGTCGATGTCCGACAAGTTTCAACCGCTCGACAAGCCCTCCCTTTGAGATAAAGAGCATAAACAAGCCCATATACAAGGCTAAGTTGGGCTTGACACTTCTTGTTTGACTTGTACATTGTAACGATGCAAATCCCAAACAGAGTGTGTGATGCTCATGTTCCCAACTGTGGCCCCAGACTGCGCAAACGCAATGTGTGTGGTCGGGAGGAAAGCAGGTTCGTTGCTGCGCAAACATCGAAACTCTCCAGGCCGCAGGTGAAAAACCCACCCCGAAGGCCCGAGTAGCAAAGAGGAGTGCGAGTTGCAAAGAGACGAGGGAAACAAGTGCGACTCGTAGACACTCACGCTGTGTCAATGCCTGCCTCCTGCACTACTTGCGAAATGGCGCTCCTTCCTTCGTCGTGCAGCCTCGTCGTCCTCCTCTCTCTTCCTGCTACTCGTCCCTTCCTTCTCTTCTTCCCTACTTCTTCATCTCGCCCTCCCCTTGCCCCATTGCAGCGCTTGAGAAGACCTTCTACGGTTCCATGCACCCTTGGGGTTCCACAGTACCTGACCAAAGGAACGGTCTACAAGAAAACACAGCCAAAGCTTAGGGTAAAACCGTCCTCAACAAAAGCCGGGTTAAACACAATCCATGCGAAACCTATCAACCACGCCACACCGTCCATCGGCCTTGGCAGCCTGAGACAAATGATTGCCATTGGCTGATTGCAGCCGCTGATTCAACAAAGCGGGCAAAGGAGCCCCTCCTGAGAGGAGTGAAACTGACGATTTGTGAGGGAAAAATAGGCTTGACCCAAATCCCAAAGCACGGTTTCAACATTGAAACCACAGAATACAGGAAGCCGAGAATGTCACTATGTTGCAGGTGCCGCCTTAGCCTTGGCTTTGCAATTTGTTTTGGTGCAAAGTGTCACGTTTATTCATGTCTATCCAGTTGGGTTCTTTCCGCCCATGAGAAGAGCTGAGCTGCGCATCCGCTGCTGCGAGCTCTTGAGTTGAATCATCTTGCCCCTCGGCCACAAGCAAGCACAAGCTGCTCTTCCTTATGCCTATGAGTCCATCATGAACAGGGAGGTGGAGGTTATTGCAAGGAAGGACGACCACAGGTCACTTCCAAACCAGGACCATCCCTGTTTGCTCAAGGATGCTCAAAAGGTTCCAGGCATTCTGAATCTGCCTGTGTTGGCAACGCCGCCAACGCTCGACGCCAAAGCTCTCGCCGGGAGGGTGCGGCCGCTGCATCGCGCAGCAGCTGGGCAGCTGGCCCTCCAGTCAGGTTTTACAATAGCAGTCAGGTGTTTCTCTAGTCTGTGCACCCAAACATGCAAGGCTGCATGAATTCAGAACCCCTCCATGCCTTGGGACATGGTCGCGAAAGGTCTGATTTGCACCAAGGCATTGAAACCCTGCTATGGTCTTGGATGATTATGATTACATGAGTTGTTTGAAGGTATTCTAGTTCAGACTGGTAGGCCAAGGAGGTACGAAGAATTGAATCCAGCTGTGTCTGGCCAGGTCACAATGACACCGACACCTCAACAAACAATGCTCTTGGACATGAAGACTGTGGCTCAAGCTGCTGGAGCCTCTGGCAATTGCCAATCCATACGCTTTCCATGTGTTTGAGCTCAAAGACTGAAAAGCCCTCTCCTCAAAACCCTTTGCAAACAAGTACAAGCTAATTCAAATCCTTGCTTGGTATTGCAGGATCTTCTTTTCACCCAGCTTCGGAAACCAACTAGCTTCTCGTGCTTCAGAAGAAGCCACACTTCTCGTGTTGCCGGGCTACTTTCTTTACCTTGGATCCAGGCACCAAGACTTGAACACGAGCCTTTCCAGTGGTCATGGACATGGAGTGGTCATGCATGTTTGGAAGCATTGCATCTTGACCATTTCTTGAAACAACCTGATGTATATTTTTGCTACGTCGTTTTACTCAAGCACAAGCACCAGCGTCAATTCCAACAGCACTTCAGCCATGGTATAAGCACCGGAGGAGGTCGGAGCAGTTTCTGGAGCAGTTGGTCATTCCAGGTTTGAAGCAGGTTCCAGATCAAGGGTGAAAAGGACGTTCTGGAGCAGGTTCCAAAGCAGCATGTTTCAGCTTGCAACATGCAATCAAGCAGATGACAGCAGGGCCCGGCAAGTTGCAAAGCATTTGCTGGAGAAGGTCTTGTGGGCTCTGGGGCGAGTGGAGAGGTTTTGAAGTGTGGGACAGCGGGGGCGTGGAAAGACCTTGACTTGAGGCGTGTATGCTTCTAGTTTCTCAGACGCGCTGGATAAACGTCAATGCCAAAAATATTGCCTTGCAGCCAGGGATGTAACTTGGATTTGTTCATTTCAGCACCACCATGGAACATGTGTATATAAATGCAACAAGGGTAGCATGATGGGCAAGCCGGAATGTTAAACAAGATCACGCCACCATATCCTCAATGCCGATGCCCGTCCATCTTGCCCAAGTTTGTGGTCGCCCCCTCTTGCCTTTTCTTTGCTTTCCCAGAGCAACCTGCACCATCTCCACAGAAGGTCCGAAAAGAATCAAAACATGTCAAAAGCCACAGTGGCAAAAGGGTTTTGGCTGAGCTACCTGCCTCGTAGAACATGACATGGCGGTTCACGAGCGGATCCTGCACTGGCCAAGCCGAGAGCTTCCAACAGCATGCACCCATGCACCCAGCTAAATGCTGCATGGTGGAAGAAAAACAACAAACAAACAGACAAACAAAACCAGCCAGAACTTAGCCAAGACGCGAACTTCCGCAAAGCCATCCGAAAATCCTTCTTCAAAGGGGACTTCTCCTTGGTTTCCACGCCACGCATTGTGAAGCCCAAAAGGGAACAGCTCCGCAAGACGAAGATACGATGAAATCGCACTGGCCACGGTCAGTGGCCTAAACATCCCAAATGGATTTCTTGCCCAAAACTCTTCAAATTTTTGGCCGGGGGGGTAGGCCGCTAGGAGAGGTAGAAGAGATAGGTAGCTACTAGCTAGCTACTAGCTGCTAATTAGTTACTACATATGAACGCAGGATAGCTCACGCTAATGATTTGGTTCCTAGATTTTTTGGAAAACTACGCATATCTTTTGTAGATGATGGCATCTTCTTCCCCTGTAGTCGCTACGAGCAGCTCTGGTCGAGACTGCATGTGCCAATTAATTTGGGCAAGCTGCCGTCCAATATGCGAAGCCCGTACCCACCGAGCTAGCCAGTTTCACCACCAGTCGCTTGGACTTGTCCAAGAGAAGAATGGGACTGCGGAAGAACATGGCTCACTTGGAGACTTCAAACACAAATCCCAGAGAGACTATGGCCACGTGGACTTCTGATCTGAGCCAGGCAAGCTACGTTTAAATGTCCTGAACTTACAAACTTAGCAGGGTTAGCAAAAAGGCTCCCACCACATGCGCTAGGAATCTCTGACACTCAGCACCTCCTAGCTGTGATTGACGATTGACTTCACCAAAACCTGTCCGCTGCCCTTGCCTCGCACTACTGCTCTGCTCATTCCTGTTGTTTGTCCTAAGTCTTTAAGACCACTAGACCTGCTGAAGCCGTCAGTTCTGGCCGGGCTAACTTGCAAGAGGCCTGCTTGAGCATCTTGCCTGCGCGCATCCACATTTTAGCCAGTGCCTGTTCACATTGTTGAACTCATCAAGCTGCAATGTGTCAACACCTTTTTGCCTCTGGCTCTTCCTTGTCGAAACGTTATCAGAGTCAATCGGCATTTCGGTTGTGCATTGCCAAGCTGAAGCGCAAACATGCGCAATGCTGCGGCCGAACGCCACATGCACTATGTGCACATTGGGGTGGTGGCACTGCCACAAATGGCATCATCGTTGTCTAAATGAACGGATGAAGGATGTGATCAGGCCTGGCAGTGAGAGCCAGGGGGTGGACCGGAAGGGCGTGTTTTGCTTGGGCACCCCGGAACAAACATGGTTTGCACACATCTCTGCAACATCCAGGAATCAAAATTGGATGCAGTTTCATTCCATTTGCCAAAGCAAGTGGAACTGTAGCTCAGGCCACCTTTCATGAACATCACGTCTTCATCATTCATCATAATGAAAGCAAAGCGTCCTGAATAGTCAGCCTCTCCTTCATGTTTAGGCCTTCCAGGTCGGTCACGAATGTCCAATCGACTAGACTGTCCAACACTCCTAGACTTTCCAGTCGCGTGCACCTGAAGCTCTCAAGTACTTTCTGACGTACAGAATCGTCTGCACTGCAGAGGTACCTGACAGAAAACTGGATGCTTTCGACAGATCCACTAAAAATCAAGATCTCAGATCGGAAAAGACTGGTTTGCTGTTCTCTTCCTGGGAGGCTGGCTCAAAGGCACGGTCATCCATTGGATACCGCCTGCAGGTGTCATTCAAAACTTGAGTGTGGTTGTTGCAGAAAAGCGCTTTGAGGCAGCAAAAGCCTGCGGAAATTCTCCAACAGGGCTTCGTCACCTGTCAAGATCTCATTGACAACATACGACAATCAACCCTGATATATCCTGCAAAGACCGCACAGGAGAACTCCTTTGTCTGTACGATGAGTGTCCGAGTTCGCTGAATTCGCCTTTGCTTCTGCCTTTGCCTTTGACGGGCGCTGCTCCAGGAGAGCCATTTGACTCGACCTGAAGACTTCTGTGGCGGTGCCAGTTGCACGTACACACGCCACCTAAGCTGACCGCCTTGGCTCTGACAACCTCAACAGAATTCAAAAGAATGAAATGACCTGGCGTTCATGACAGTTCCTGAACAAAAATCCAGCGCAAGCACCTTCAAGTAGCTGGTGACAGAAGCGGAATAGTCGCCATCCGCGTGACCTGATGAAATCAAAATCCAAGAAACAAGGATGATCGAAATTGTGTAACATCTCAATCACTCTGGGGCAACATCGTTTTGGCTGAAATTCCTCTAAGAAGACCTCCTGAACACGAGGCTCTGCCTGAGCACAAACACGTCATTGATTCTCGAGGCGTCTGTCCGCAACAGCCATCCACCAGCAAACCCAACCTGGATGAGATAATCAAAGGCTCGGTCATCCATCGGGTACTGCCTCACATGGAGCGACAAGCGTCTTCCTCACATCGAGACACTTCAGTAGCTTCTTGCTACTAGTAGCGATGCCCTTTGTTACTGGTAGCGTCCGTGTTCCTAGTAGTAATTCCAAGGAGCTACTAGTAGCAAGGGCATCGCTACTAGGAGCAAGGCCGCTATTAGTAGCTCCTGGCCTTACTACTAGGAACGCCTATCGCAACTGGTCGCGTCTCAGCTCCTTGCGCCCTGAAGGCTCGCAAGCGGCTGTGGCGCGGGCCACCTTCGCTGAAAAGGTCGGAAACCGAAAACCGTTGGGTGCGTTGTGTCCGTGTGTGGGGTGCAAGCAGATGGACTGCAAAAAACAACAAACACAGACACACACACACACACACAACAAGTTAGCATAGTGTGGAGCTCATGTGCCCAGCCTGCACCTTTGCTGACCTCACCTCTTCCGCTTCGACCAGGAATGATCTGATCTCTTCGAGACGTGGACTCTCGGATGTAGACTGCACCTGACATACTAGGAGCAAGGACGCTACTAGGGGCTCCTGGCATCGCTACTAGGAGCAAGGAGCTATTAGGAACAAGAGGCTCGATGCACTTTGCAGCGACTGAAATCTCTCGCCTGGTCGGATGACTTCCCGAATGTCAGGGACACTTCTCCAGTCCACTGAGCGCCTCTCCTGCCCACTCTTACAGTGCTTTAAGGCTTATAGTGGGAATAATGTTTCATCTCTCCTCAAAGACGCCGGGACCGGCAACTGGAGATCTAAGCCCTCGTTTCAAGAAGTACGTCAACCTGAGCCCAGCTCAAAACACAAACACAGTGCGCATGGTTCTCTGAGACTTCTTACTTCTCGATCCAGCTCAAGCTCCGTATGCAATCAAACTGCTTGTGTTGAGGCAGCGGCTGACGAGAGTAGTCAGTCTCCTAAGCACAACAAACATCACCGTGTTTACATATGTGAACGCAAAACTGGACCAGTGACTCCTGTCTGCCAGAAAACCAAATTCCCACTAAGACTGTGGCATCCAGATTCCTTGGCAAGAAGTTCTGCAGTGCCTAGGCAGATCAGTTCTGCCACGTGGGCTGTTCCCAACTCACAGACACTGACCCATGAAACTGGCGTTGGACATCACCTTTAGTTTTTGCCTTTCTGAACACCTGACGCCCGTTTGCCTGTAACACCAGGTTCAGCTGCGACTCAAACCAGAGCAGCACGAACTCGTCATGTTCTGTTGGCTTTGCCCTTTGGTGAAGGAGGCTTCTCACTTTGGACATGTTTGAAGCCTTCTGAACCTTTAAATTCTGAGATTTGCTTGGGGCTGAGGAGCTGAGGGCGTTTGGAGTTGAGCCTGAAACCTGAGTTGAACTACGGCGCCGCAGAACCTTTTGTCCGGAAGTTTGTGGATCACTTCCACAAGCTATGACAAGACTCCCGAGAACGGCCCCTTCACATGTCATCCCAGCCTCGCGTTGCATCTCCACACTGGAGTTGCAAAGATACTGAAAGGCACGTTCCTGAAAAAGTAGCTGCTAGCAGCAAGACTGTGATTTGCCCTGATTTACCCTGATTTGCCCTGAGCTCCTCACGTCCATTGGGAACCTTTCTCGAAAAAGGTCCAGCTTGGCCAGGCCTGGGCCATCTCGCCATAGACCAGATGTCGGGGTGACTCTGGGGATCACCGCTGGTGGCTTCAGCCAGCTGACAATCTCAGATCCCTGCTCACGCGTTCCAAGCCTCTATCCTTCACCGTCATCGAGCGCACCTGAGATGATGCACACATGAGGCCACGCACGTGAGGCAGTCCTATAGAGTCTATAGAGACATCAAAATTGAAAAAATGAAGATCACTGTGTCACTGAACAGGGTCCAACAAAAAACAAAACAGAAAATGCAAAAAATAAAATATAAGTGCTTTACAACTTTACATGTTGCACTTTGGACATCCTCCTCCCTCCTCGATCCATGTGGCCGTGCCCCGTGCATTGATCGCGATTGGCTGGGGTTCATGTGCGCACATGCTATGACAGAACATCAAGGACCTGAACTAAACACAAAAATTGGAAGCGCAAGTGAAGGCAGAACCTTCGCCCCTGATGCACATACGTGCATACACAGATACATTCATTCATTCATCCATCCATTCCTTCGAACATACATACATACATACATACATACATTGCATTCTATTACATTGCATTATTTTATTTTACATTGCATACATACATACATACATACATGGCTCAAGCCACAAGCTGCTCAAGCCCGTGGCCAGTGAAATCAGGCTAGTGCGCAAATCCACTTGCGCTACAGGTGCACGGAGAACGACACCGAGCAAGGCCCAGGAACTTTGTGACATACCTCCGCTCTTTGCTCGCAATCTCCGTCTACATCTCGGCCTTTCCTGCCTAGCTCTACGGTGGCTGGCAGGTTCTCGCCTGGCTATCACTCTGAGCTCTCCCTGGTGACTGGGCCTTTTTCACTGAAGAACCCACAGGCCCGCTCAAGTTCGAAGACACCCAGTTTGCCTACCTGTCTGCCTATCACTAGGCCTGAAAGCAGCCCTATCCCAGGGACTATGACGCCACAATGGGGTCGAGCGTACATGAGGCTGCAGCAACTGGATTTGGACAGATCGAGTGAAGCCAGGCACCAAATGCCGCAGATGTGGCACGTGGTGGGCGACTCCAACTGCTGGTACGGGCAAGGGCAAAGGGTATGGACGACCCGCCCACAGGCATCCAGCAAATCAGCAATGGTTGGACACTCCACCGGGCTTGGAAAGTTCAGACCACTCAAACAAACAAAGATGCAACAGGAGGCCACCGAATTGCTCTCCAACAGGTCAGTCCTACCAGAGGACACACAAGGCACTCGGCATCGGCCCCAGCAAGCCAGAAGAACCCGAGTTGACAGACATCCTGAAAACCCACATGGATGCACTGCCACCACAGGTCCAACAGATCGTAACCACGGCACCAGAACCATCTACTCACCGGGAGATTGCCACCAAGCTCAAAGGCCAAGTGACGGACCCGGAGTTGAAAGCCCTGTCCATCCGCAAGAATCAGCTCCAGGACAAAATCGATGGAGTCAAAGCTCAATCAGCTCTCACAGGATTACATGAAGGCCGTAAATCAGACTCCAGCACCCGCTGAACTGGCAGCAACCATGGGTGAACCTGAGCAAATCCCCATGGCAGCAGAATCCTTTGTACACAGTCTG